CAGAGTTTCAGTCCAGGTTCTACACAAATTTAAAATACAAAAAACAACATGAATGTCTCGATGTAATAAGGTTGAAAAAATACAAGTAAATTCCCTGTTGGTGCATTTCTGCTGTGTAACGAGGAGGCTAATTTGGTCTGATAAGAGGCATCCCATTTAAATAAATATTAGCCTTTTTTGTTGATTCAGAGGAGCTCGCTGCTGAGAACATAAACATGACAAAAGTTTATGACAAGTGCAGTTTGACTAAATGACAACCTTAAAGTTCATTCAATTCTAACAGTATTCAGTGTGCAAGCCTTTGAGTTTGACTTGGGTTTGTTTTCAGTATCTTCATAGTGGCGGCTTGATCTATAATATAAACGAAACCTCTTTTTTTGTTGGCTCCATCCTGATAATGTCAGTTTTTCAGCTTGTTCTACACTTTTGTTTTGGCTGATAACTTCTAAACAACTGTTGGTGCTGATTGACGTGAACTCTTCAAAAAGGCATTCATGTTCCCCAGAGGATGTAGTCATCTGATTTTGATGATCTCCTGACTGTTTCTTGGGCACCCCAAGCAGATTGCATTTTTGTTTTAGTTAAAAGTCTTTGCAACCATAAGAAGGATTCCATTTTGGTATGGGTGGTTTTCAGTGGCTGAATCCTAATGTGTCTGGTGATCATCAGGTATTTCATTAAGCCACACAAGCTGGGCTAAGTTTGTACTTCTCTAGTTAAATATCATGTTTCCATGGCAATTTTTTTCCCCCTCTGGCATTTCAGAGGGTAAATCCGACTGATTTTTTTCATCCCTTGACTTTTCCTTGATGGATTTACATGAAAACAAGTGCCGACATTCATTTTGGCTGGAGAATAATTGCAATAACATTGGTGACCAACTAACCCTCTATCATTGTAAACTTTGTCATTTGCCAAAAAAAAAGACATGATGCATGGTTTTTCTTAAAATAAGATTTTAATATTACTTATTATCATAAAGATATATTTACACACTTTACAGAAATAGAAAATAAAAACACAAAGCTACGCATGAAAGGAAAAAATAAAATAAGTACTCCAAGAGCTAAAGCTTATCTTTTATAAATTAGAAACCAAAAGTTCAAATATGTACACAGTATTTCAACCATTTCTGATACACTTGTTTTATTTATTTATTTATGTCATTTATTTTTGCCCAGTTCAACATCAAAACAGAGACAGGGACTGTACATTTGGCCTGGTGAGTAATATGAGCACACACCATAAACAGAATATAAGTTTCAGGAGTAATACATCGTCTTTAAATGGTTTCTGCTTCAGACCTAGTAACACTGTTGCGATGGCGTGTCGAGCCTACAGACTGCATCTCTCCTCAGATTGTTCTTTGTGATCTTGGACACAGTGGTTACGTGGATGAAGAATATGTCGTAGTCAAGGCAGGAGGGGCCTGTGCTATTCTGGGTGTAGGAGGTCTCATTTTGAGGCTCCCGGATAATGACAGATCTTAGTCATTTCCCACGAGGGATAAAATCTAGTTATCCTTTGGATTTGCCCAGCTAGTGAGAATGTGTGAATGCATTGGATTGAATATCAGCCACTTGATCCTGCAGACACCCACTCTGAAGGCCAACATGTTACAGTTTGAGGGGCTTCACAAGGTAAAATTATGGAATGTGTTTCCATTTCCATATTGAGAGAAATGGTTGGTTTGGTATCTATTTAAAGGATTTTTTTTTCTGGTAGAGAACTGAATGAAAATGGGATAAAGAAAACATAAAAACCTTGTGTTTTACTGTAACCTTTTGGGTGGATTTGGTAAACAGAGCTCAATAAAATAAGCTAATGTTTTAAAACCTGCCACCAGCTTCACCACTAGTATCTGTATCTCTGCTCATCCCCACTCCTTACACACTCCCAGCCAAATGCAGAACAAAAAGAACTAAACACAAAGGGTCAAGTTCTGAGAACAGACATTTTTCTACCAGGAAAACATGCTAACAAGTGCATAGGAACATTACTCAGGCCTTGTGATGGTCACAGAGAAGAGGAACTGGAGAGGAAACATTGACAGGATAGGAATCGTTTCTCTTGTGTAAGCCTTGCTGGAAAAGACCATTAAGGAAAATGGTTTTGCTCCCCGAGCATAATGTATTGGTTTACCATTTCAGTTTGAGCCTGGACGTGCTTGTCCTTCCACACCACAAGGCCCATTAACCTGATGTGCAGGGGAGGACTGTGGGCTATCATCAACAAGAAAAGAACGCCTGAAAGCTTTCACGTGTCCACGACATATTGTGCTGCAGACTACTTTTCTATTTTGTTACATCCACAAAAGATACAGTGTTTCATACTGTATTCAAAAAGTAAGCTTTGGACAACCAGCTAGACAAGAATCAGACAAAAAATTGTCACAATACACTGGAAAACCATTCCATATCAAGAGACTCTTGTTTTCAGGGTGTATTTTTCCAGCAGCATAATGGAATTGTAAAAGTGCAGCCTTGCAAACCCATACAGAGAAGTCTTGGAGCAAAGCCACGTCTATTTGTAGGGACTTAGTTTACACCGGAGGCTTTGGATCAGTGGGATTTTTGGCTTATGATTTTTTTTGGATTCAACTGATAACCAGACCAAGATTAAAAAGAGTACTTTACATAAACACTGGTTTGCTCTGGTCTCTGAAAGGGCAGCATGGCTGGTGCAGATGGTGAGGATACATTCATGAAGAACAGTGCGGATACAGACGTTGCTCGGCTCCATAACAATAAGTTCTGGGAAGGGGAAATATTGATTTGAACCCCTTTGCTATGACCCAGTCTACTTCCAGCACCCCAACTCCTGCAGCTTTGAACTTCCATCCCCAGCCCATATCTTCTACTATCTTCCCCAATACTAATGACACATCCTGAGCAAAGCTGTCTCACTCCCAAGGAGCATTAATGAAATCTACATCTCTGTCTGAGAGGGTATGAAAAAATAATGGTGGAACTGAAATTATTACTCTTCACAGTGCCCTAGGATTTAATGCATTTTTAATCAAGCTGATCTTGGCTGGGTGGATTACCACTGTGATTTCAGATGCACTCTTAATAAAAGCTTCTCATGCTGGGTGTGAGAAGACTCTGCATTCTATTATAATATTTGCATGAGACATGGCGAGAGGGAAAGGTGTTGGAAACATGGGTTAACCTGCCAGTTGTTATGTGGTTGAATCTGACAGACTTGAAAAAGGAGTGTTTGCTGATTGAAGAGCAGTGGATTAAAATCAGATTTTCCCCTAAAATCTCAACTAGGAAGCTGCTTCGCACACCTAATAAACAACAAACGAGGTGGCTGCTCTACAGGTTACAGTCCTAATATGTGACATGGTTACACACTGAATCAGCAGGGGGTTGAGGATTGGAAAGGTGGGGGAGGGTGTGGTTTCAGTCTAAGCCAATTTAACAATGAGCTCAGACTAAGTGGCCCGGCCAGCCTTGGGGAGATCCATCTGAGAAAGATTAACTCCAGGATTTAATGAGTGTAATGATCAAAGCCACGACCACCTGTGCTGTGGAAGGGCAGACTAGAAAGGCAACTGTACCCAACATAATGCGGGGAAAGGATCACGTTGAGAAAAGGCTGAATACATGGCTATATTGGTGAATACATTAAGGGAGACTAAAAGATACAGTATATGAAAATATGCTCATATAAGCTTTAGATGTATTGTATGTTTGTGTTTTGTTAAATAAATGCACAAAATAGACTGCTCTAGTACAAGCCTCTATCACAGCACCCTGAGAAAAAAAGAAATAAAACTACTTAAAGACAGAAATAAACATAAACAGTAATATATTCCAGTATGATGGAAAGGCATAGCATTTTGTAAGTGAAAGATGGCGGTCAAAGGGTCAAACCAGCCTTATGCTGAATATTCAAACAGCCAGAGCACTAGTGGTAGGCTGATTATAGTGGCATATTATCCGAGCTGACATTTGCTTTGAACTTCTTTTTGGTCTAATTTAACTGTCCTCTTCAATTTCTCTTTGCAGAAAATTTAAAATGCATAATGTGTCAGTGTATCAAGACTTCAAACAAGAGGTAATGTGTTTCTCCCTAACCTTTGTTTCCTTCGTTCCTGGCAGCATTGTGGAGAAGGTTATTATTTGGCACTTCATTAAAAGGCAAGGCGGCCTGTCGGTGGAGCAGACTGCCCCTGCCAGTTAACAGTCGTGTAGAGCAGCTGCGCACGGCAGCAGTGTGGTGAGAAGGCTGAGGATCGGGGACGGGATTGGGATTCTGGGGTCAAAGGACTCATCCAAGGTGGGACATGTTACAGTAACCTTGAGTGTGTGATTAAACCCCCCCTAAGGTGTTAATGAGTTCAGAAACACCAGATTAGCTTTGGATAAAAGAATGAAAGAATAATTCTTTAAACTGATTGTTTTGATATTATGGACTCTCTTTTTAGTCCAACTTTCCTTTGCATGTGGACATATTGTCATGAGGAGGTACAAGCACCATTAATAATGATAATTAAGCAATGGTTATAATATCACGATATTCTTCTCTTCCTTTTCAAACGGCTATTTACTGTTCAAGTGCAGGAATCCAGAGTTTCACAAGTGAACTTAATATTTGCTTTTGACAGCTATTAAACCTGACACTGCCTTTCTGTATAATCAGCGCCCTACCCCAGCAAAGCTGTTAAGTAGCTACACAGCAATGAAATCGGTGGCTGCAGTAACCTTGGATCTGAGAGATGGGAATACCACACCGTGGAGAAGCAACAGATGCTTTAAGACTCAGATTGTTTCAACCGAGCTCCCTCTCCACCACATGTCATGCAAAGTGTGTGAGTAATTCAGGGAGATCACCATGATTGGGCTCTATCATGTAAATCATAGAAACATTAAAAAAAAAAATGCTTGGGAAGAAGACAGACATAGATAAGTATTGAGGGAGTGAGGGAAAGAGAAAGAGAGAGACAGAGAAATAGAGTCTGATAGCTCAGGCCCCCCCACCCCCAACCCCCTTCCCGGGCCCCCATTTCCTCCTAGAGCTGAGGGTGAGCGGCTTGTCCTGATTTTTTTGTGTGGACAAAGTTGCTTGAAGAACCAGCAGGTGCTATGGACATCACTCTTCAGGCTGGGCAAGCTTAGGCCCCTTGTTGCAAGGCCCCCCAAGGCAAAGGAAGAGCATAGAAATCAGAACCTGGGGAAAGGCGCTCAAAGCAGTGCCTGGAAAACAAAAAAACAAAAACAGAGAAAAAACTACCATGAGATCATGTTTTTTTGTTTCCTAAAAGTTCTGCAGACATTTCTCTCAACTCCAAATAAGGATGCCCCTCAGTGAGCTTCACAAGAGCTTTCTCTTTGCCATATCTCTGCGTTATCTTGCCTTTGAAAACAGTGAAGAAAAAGGTTACTTCAGACATGTTCCAACCAGATTTGAAGGTCTTTACTAGAAAAGTGCAGCACATAGTGATAAAAACAATCGTATAACTAGCTGTCGAACACAAGCGCAACATTATGTTTACTCGAAGGCTTGCAGCGCTCCTTAACAATGGGGAAATCTTCAATCTTTCTGCCTTTTATCTCCTGTACTCTGTGATCATTTCTCAAGATTTTGAATGAGCAGTGCAGTATTCTTTCCTGCATGACAACAAGAAGCTTTCACAGATAAGTCTGGTTTTGTTTCAGGATGGCATATTTCTGTAGACATGTAATCCCCGAGAACCATTGTGTGATTTATCTTATCTAGTTTAAGTTATGTTGTTGTTGTTTGTTGTCTTCCTTTCTTTTCATTTGGGTCTACGGGATGACCTCAACCCCTTGATGTCATACCACACAGCATAGTGAGAGTGTAGGACAAGATCCAGACCATCTCCACATTGTTTTGATGGGGGAAAAAAAAAAACCTTCAGAAGACTCATTCACTGAGCTCTCCCATACTCAGGGTCTCACAGGGGTTTCATAAATTGCCTGTGGCTTAAAATCTGTAATATCCTGTCGTCCTTTAGACTGTCACTGGCATGGCTTAGATCTAAGAGATGTTATAGCACTTTTGGATCCGAGATGCTCAAAGAGGATAACCCCAGTCGCCATCTTTCTTCCCAGCCATCTGGGATGTGTAATGATTAAAAGTCGAGCTTTGCCTCAGGTTTGTCAGGGAGTAAATGATGAGCTGATTTGGACACTGGAAGTGGAAGATGTTGCTAAATAGCAGAGTTTTTTGGAAAAGTTGACCTTGACAAGTAAATCTCTTCTTCAACAGCGCAGCAGTTAAGTTAAGTTAAGATCAGTTGTGACAAATCCACAAGATCTGTCTTCCTACGAGTCTCTCAAGCCCTCAGCTGGAAGTCTCCGTTGAACTCTTCCTTTGATCAAACAAAATGCATCTCCAGCTGTTTCCAGAGGTGTTTTTTTCAATCATCTGCTCAAAGCAAAGAAGAGCTGGATAAGTGAGGTGGATGGATAGGAAGAACAGAGCATTTTAAGATATCACAGGATGGACAGATGTAAAATATCAGGTTTTTGTGAAGGGCTTTGGTCAGAATACATCATGCTTAGGCGAAAAGCAAGCCTGGGCTAAACTGGCATGGTTATGAAAAACCCTTGACAGAGATCAAACTATGAGGAAGGATAAGAGGAGATGGAAGTGTAATAGGGAAATCTTCAGCATGTTTGGTTTAAGTGGTGTCTGCGGAGACAGCATTGTGACTCACTGAGCCGTTCACTTTTACTGAACTTCACAACTTCCTGAAGCTCCCCATATTGTGTGGCCAGCACTCTGGCACTGAGCACTAAACAGCTCTGACCACTCAACTCACAGAGAGGATTCTCACTTTTTACTGGCAGACCGAGGAAATCGGGGGGTATTGAAAGCAGGACTGAAGTGAAAAGAAAATGTAACCCTTTAAAAGATAACAATCCAAATTTCGCCAAGGATTGTAAAAAAAAAATTCAGACCTATACAAAGAAAAGGCTTCCAATCTTTTATAGCTTTGATCTTTTTTTTTTTTTTCCGTTTTAACTGATTCACCATGCTTTCACAGTCTTTGGCTGCAGCCTCTCCATACTATGGCTTTAATCTATGGAGACCCTCTGCAGGTCAGTGCTGTATAGTCGTCACCTCCTGCAGGGATATTGTGTCGTGTTGAGTTTTCCTGTCTCTCAAATAGTCTGGAGGAGAAGTGTGAAGGGATTCGACTCTTCTTAAAGCACGGACATAACTGAACTTGATGTTGCCTCTCATTCACAAAGCTGGGCTAATATTTGAAAGTTCAATGAGAGCTTAAATGTATATTTAATTACTGTAAATTTGATCATGTCATTCAATTAGTCAAGAGTGTCTTTCATATTTTCAATGGAGGTTGATCTGTCTTTACTACAATACAGAGAGTATGCTTTGGTTCGGCAAAAACCAAACTGTCAGGTGATAAGCAAAATATTATCTCTAATTTTGGATGAAAGAGATTTCACACGAAGCCTTGTTTGACTTGACAGCAAGCCAAACATACCTTAGAGAGATGAGTGGTGCCTCAAGGAAACCTTACTCTCCAAAGTATTATCTTTAGGAAAATGGTTTTAATTACCTTCATCAGGTAGAGAGAAATGATGTTTGCTTGGGAATTGACTCAAAGTTTAGGTTTCTAAGTATAGCTGTCTCCCATATGAGGAAAAAGATGACGTAGCTTTAAAACAACCTAGCATGCTGCTTGCTGATAGGCTTGGTGGGAAAAAACAGCAACTCAAAAGGCATCATCTTAAAGAAACCTTCTCCTTCCACAAAACTTAATGTGGACATATCTCTAGTTGCCATTTTCGCCTTTAGCACGATAATCCACTCTGCTTTGGTATCATCACAACATCTTGTGCTAACAGGGCAAGCAAAGGATGTGATGCGGTAATCTGCCTGTTTGCTGTCTCTGCTGGTTATTCTTGTGCTTTGAGCTCATGAGAATAAGTATCGAACTAGTATTTCTATGATATGCAGGTTGGACACCACAACTTCATCCGGGCATTATCGTCATCTTTTTTGTCAAATTACTTCCAGACATCATTATTCCTGGTCACGGCTGACATGGGGCATCTAACACTAACAGAGTTGCTAACTATAGTATCCTAAAACAACACGTGGGCAGGTGTGCTAGTGGTGAAATATTACTCGAAAAATGACGTCAACAAGTATTCGAGTAATAAAGTAATCAAGTAATCGTACCCATCCTAAGTTACCAGGGTCTTCAGTATTCCAGTAAGCGTGTGAGTTTCCTATTCATCATCCAAAACATCAGAATCGATTCTGCCAACCGAGCATTTTTCAGACTTAACAGACATCTTTTAAATGGCTCCCGCTATTGTCAGCACTTATTTAATTAAACTATGGGAAAAGCTTTTGCTCAACGTAGCTCTGACTTGACAGAAAGTTGGTCTAACCTAGCAAAATATACACAAACTTTTCCACTGAATCTGTTGAAAGTCTTTTGTTGTGTAAAACGGGCGTTTTTATGACAGGTTTAATGGCACGCTTTGCTGAACAAAACCAAATGAGCCATTTCACCCACGACTCCCAGAAACTCACCTTGCTCTAGAATGGCATAGGCCCCTTGTTGGAAAGACGTGGCCGTGGGCGTCTCCTCTTCCAGCCGGCTGGTCTGTGGGTCTGACCACCCCTCGCAGGGTTTTGCTGGACCATTTTTCTCACTATAGGCGCATCTTCAAGCTCTCTGCCATGCTCTGTGGAGGCCATGGGACCTGGAGGACACAAAAGACGAGAGACCGATTAGATACCCACAAATTAACCTCTCAGGTAAACAGTATTTCACAGCCTCTTATCACATTTTGACTATTTATCAGTGCAGACAGTAAATGATTCAAAGAGGGGTCACTGTAGTAAATAAGGAAGAAACCAGAGGCATGTATAGATAAGTGTGTGTGTGGGCCCCCTTTAGCCCACCCACTATTGTAGTTCATCAATTCAGTGTGTTTGAACCACAGAACAGCAGATAGACGAAGCCCTGGCCGAAGTGAGGAAACCCCAAAACCTTGTGTCTCATGTCTCTGTCACTCTCCTTAGAGATTACAAACTGTGGCACACATTGAGGAGGTGAATCCTGTTGCAGTGTTTGATCAAAGATTACAGATGAGTTGAATAGCGTTGCGTCTCTAAGAGAATGTGTGTGAATGTTTAAGGTGTGTGTGAGTGCACGTGTTTCAGAGTGATCCCAGATGTTCTCAGTCATCTCTCAATAAGTGTGTCCTGATCCCCTTAAGCCTCTCTTTTCCAAATGGGCTGGTCCACCTTAAGTGTTTCTATGACCTTTCCACCTATCAGAAACTGAAAGACCTCCACATGGAGGTTCTATGAAGACAGGTTTTGCAGTTATACCATTATAGCATATTTAACAAGGGTGATCTCTCACACTACTTCCAGTTATATAGTCCAATAAAATGTAAGTAATAGCAGAGCAGGACTTTTTATTTGGGAATGTAAAAGTGTTTTAATATCTCACTGAGGATTGAGTGTATGTAACATGTGTATGGACATATTTTACAGCTTAAATTAAAAGGCAGTGACAAACCCTCATTTACCTGACTTAAAATGTATTTACCTTCACTGAAATGGAGAAGTGGATGTGTTTTAATGGGGAATTAAGGGTAGTCTATTCATTGACTTTCATAACATTTGAAGTACTCCCAAAAACAAATTTCAAAAGTCAAAATTAAAGAAGTAGAGTCTGAGTTATCTTTACTATTTGGTCCATGGTATAGGTTAGACTGTGAAAACACATTCAAGCCAGCACCAAACAAGATACTTATGATTATATAACTTGTTTTACAGGCCAAATGAATAAACTGAAGGAACCATTTAAAAATGCTCCTTCCTTTTTTTAAACTTAATAATAAGTTATGTGATCCGCTCTGCATTTCTAAGTCTTACTCAATGCCAAATGAACCCTTTTCCTCAAATGAAACTACAAATCTGCATTGGTTACTTTCCTTCAAAAAGCTGATTGGCATTACTCACATGGGGTCATGACACTTGTCCCCTCTCCTCAGAGACACTGGTACCATTTTTAGAATTGCCAGGAAAATAACCTTCCTTGGCTTTGCAAGGACTCCCCGTTAGGACACAGCTTAAGATAAGTCAGCCAGCCGACTGCAGAGGTTTGAGAAAGCAGGCCGTATACTGAGGACAGCAGATGAGCAGCTTACAAAAGCCATTATGACACTTGGTGCCCGGGTTCTTTTAGATGATTTTACCAGTCTGTGTATTTAAATGTGGCTGAATGGTAACACTAATGGCTGTTATATGAACAAGATGCAGTTGTGCCCCTGAGAATGTCACCTCTTTGAAACGATAAAACTCAAAAAACCCTCAGCCGTCTCTAAAAGGCAAGATCAATTTTCTTGAATAGAGGGCAGCTTTCTTCAAGAGCAGAATTCAAAAAGCCATTAGAGGAAAGGCAATTGTTGACCTTCAGCTGTGGCATATTGAAGACATTTTCAAAAGAACAACTTTCAATTGGTTAAGAGAAAAAAACAGAAAGGTTTCTAGCCTTCAGGTTTAAATAAGGGTGAACTGCAAAGCAGAGCCACTGTAGACGGCTTGTTGAATGTTTTCAATGTATATCCCTGAAACGCCAGACATCTCAAGTTCTATTTCCACACTAATCTTCTTCCGCAAGCACATTACACAGTGAATTTGTGGGCGAACAGTGGGCTAATTCATTTGCAGCAGGGAAAGTCTCTGTTGCATATTTCCGCATCTAAAGCCCATCTTTGCCCCTAGGAGCACTAATCTGCACATTATCCCTTTGTTATTGTTGCAGATACACAGTGAATGAAGGACGCTGACACATTCTGGAGGCATTCAGCTCATTTCTTGCAAATCCAGGGGGTTGAACGTTAATGCACTCCCTGTTTGAGAACAGTTTTTAGGGGCCCTGCTTCATTTAACCGCCAAGTAGCAGAACACACAGAAAAACAAGGCTGCATTCTTTGTGTATGGGGGGTTGTTTTTGCTGTTTGGAATGGTCACAGTACACGATGGGAGGACAATTCTGACATGTTTCATTTGGTATCATCTCAAAATATTTATATTTTATACGTTTTTTGTTGATTGGTCCTAAAAGTGTAAGTGTAAGTTTCATAAATAGTCTGATGCAGCCTCCAAAGTTGGAAAGATGTAGGAGACAGGTTTTCAGACACTGAACTCTAACTGCACTGTTTGACAAGCGCTTATTTTAAAGCAACCTGACACCTTAAATGTCTCAGTGATAGTTGCAATAACTACAGTGTTACACAGCTCTCAACTGCAGGTGATGTTTAGTGATTGGCTAGTCCTAAAGGTGCTGCAAACACATGCACTGAGTCACACTGCTCACACTGCAATGCATGATGGTAAAGTAATTGTACTTTGGCTCACACAACTCATCTGGTGTTCCTCTCTGGTTGGCTCAGGCTGTCATAACCCAGGTCCATAATGAGACAATTTAGATGTCTCCTGCCATTGCAAGCTGTCAGCCACTGCTCGGAGAACATCTCGGGATTCTCCTGACAAATCACGACCCATCCAATCTAGCCACAGGATAGAAAAGTGTAATGAAAGCTGCTAAAAATAAGTCGGGCCCCAGCGATAACAGTGGCAGTATAGATTAACTCCTGTATCCTGTAGAGAAAGCATCAATGTGTGACAGATATGAAATACAGCAACAGCTAGCTTTGTATCTCTACCCATGTGTAGTGGACCTCGTATAGATTGAAAGAAGCTGCTGTATCAGGATAAGACCTTTTGATTGTTTCTGTTGCAGGGCCATTATTGGATAATGCGTATTCCATCTCCATAAACAAAGATACCTCAGATATCTCATTGCTCTGAAATTGGATCCAGCCTCTGGAGTATCTCATTTGATCTTTTCCCATGAGATGTTCCCATGTTTACGTTGCAGAGGTAAACCAGTTGCATAGCAGGAAAACATATGTCCAACAATAATTAGTGTCTTATCTCTACTACTGATGACCTTGGAGCCCCAGTTTTGCTGTCTTTCCACCAAATCCCAACACTTCTTCACCCACCAGGTAATTCCCTAATTAAAGTTTAATAACAGGGGAATTTCAGGAATGTCTGGTTATTGCTATTGCTTCTGCCAGCGCTTCCTACAAAAAGAGGAAGAGAAGAGGGGATAATGGCTGGTTTGGAAAGTGGTTAAGTTTAACTGTTATGTATTTAAGGTGAAGGATATCATTTGAATGTTAAAGAACTCCCTTTGAAAAATGCCAGATTTCCAGCATGATCATACAAAAAGCAGAGCAGACTCTTGCTAGATTGACTGACATGGGTGCAACAACAGGAAGGGGATGTTTTCTGAGGGTGACCTTTTTCACTGAGAAAGCAGATGCTTTTCAGGCCCCTAATGTTTTGCATGCATATCGGAGGTCGCTAGCTAACTATTAGACCTTCCCATCAGCTCCTGGAGAAAAGGACGATTTTGCTATCGTTTTAGTAACATACCAGGCTGTCTTTTCTACAACAGCTAACTTCTGGCCAACACTAAAATAAAACACAGCTTTGGAGAGCCAAAACAAGAATTGATTCCTTGAAACCTGCAAAAAAAAAGTAAGCAACCAGTCTGTGATGGGAGAGTTTGCCTTTGCCTCTTTGGAACCTTTTCAACTGGGTACCTTGGAAATAACAGTAAAATGTGTGAATGATAGTTGTACAAAGCCAAACCCTTGAGAGCTAGAAGTGGTCAGGCATTGAATAGAGTAATCGACAGTGTCACAAAGTGTCTTGTGTCCGGACGAATGATAAATATCTAATAGCTGCTCCCTAATTCCTTGCCCTAGTTTCACCACCACCCTAAGGTGATGTCTGTTTTGTTGTGTTTTTAAATGGAAGCTCTTCGTCTTATTATGGTCCAGCAGAAAGTGGAATACTGACAGCTTATCCCTGTTGATCCTGCAAGAGTTCATCAGAGGAGCCTGGAGAGAGATATATCTTCCAGCACTTGTCCATCCAGTCAGGGAAGAGAGATGACCGTCCTCTGGGTTAATGCCAAGTTCATCAGCTGCCCTCATGGCTGCCAAGAGCAAACTGTATATTACAGCGCTATGTGTCAATGCAGGAACACAGACAGCATGGCAAATGGGCCAGAGCGGCTTATTGATAGTTGTAAAGCTGATTTGTGTGTATTGCCTGCCAAAACAACCACATAACAAATGTCTGCACTTGTAAATGCAGCCCCAGCGTAATGGTGTTTCTGCCTCTAGGAAATAAGGGATCAAACTATATCAGCCTGTGAGTTAAGCTATAGCAACAAGTATGTACAGGCCTGTGTTTATGGTTTAGAAACTGTTGCATTAAATATGAACACCCACAGTCAAGCGTGGCCACCCAAATTTAATCCCTGCTGCGTTTCATTTTCTCTGTGTCGCTGCGAATTGATCTGCTGTTCTTGAATCCTATCTGTTTGTTTACTCTTCTTGCTCATCACTCACAGTCACAATGATTATTAATCAATTGCATGAAATCTCATTGATCCATTTTCTCGGTTGGCTCAAAACATTCCATCTCTCCTCTGTTTCACCGCTGTCCTCACATCGCTTGACTGACACCCCTGCGTCATAAATCTCACCCAGTGGTGTTTGCATGAATGTATTTTGATGTGTCAACAAACAGCTGGGACAATGGGAATTGTTCGGGATTGAAAAGAAACGATAAGAATGACACTTTGGGCCCATGTAGGATTCTG